TTATATATATACATTATTTTTATTTATTTATTTATTTATTTTGGATTTGTGAGGTCCATTATAAAACATATGACCTTATGGATCCTTCTGGATAGCCAGTTCGTCGTTGTTATATGTAAAATCCTAATGAAGGCACTTAGGAGTTCTCTTTTTTTCGATACATCGGTTTATAAGGACCTACTAAATTGTATTTTTTGGTGATATAAACATGTTGCACAGGACGTTGGTTTCGCGTTGGTGTTGCATATCAAATCCTGATGAAAGCAATGATCCACTTTAAAATTACTTGTTTTTAGTGCATATGTAATGATTGTTTTATGCATATTTTTAGTGATATTACACTTTAAAGGAAGATATTTTATATATTTTTATTTCAGGGTACATTGAATAGACATTTAAAGAAAATGAGGGAAAAATGAGCAAAAACGGTGCAAGTTGTATGACGCCATAACATCGCCCCCTGACTCTATAGCGCCACATTTGACAGTATTTGAAGGCTTTAAGATGTACCACTTTTGTGTTTTAGTGTGAGTTTATGTGTGTTTTGTGTTGTAAGAGTAGGAGTTTGGAGATTTCTTCAAGGAGACTCCAGAATTTGTGTTGGGAGAAGACAAAAGTTACTTTGTATTTGTGTTAAGTTTTTGTTTCTACGACTTGGATTTTAATACAAATTTGTTTCTGTTTTATTCTCCATAAAGTCTGAGTAGTTCTCTTTCTTTCTTCTTGCACTTGGGAATTAATCTTGTGGGATGAGCATGATTTAAAGATTTCTTTTTATTTTTAGAAATTGTGATGACATTTTCTCCGATTCTTCGTTGACTTTTCGATCACTTGTGACGTTAAAATCCGTTGAGAAACATAAAGCCCCGGGAGGGCTGGGATTTCATTCAACTAATGAGAGTCACACTTCATTCTGGCAGAGCGATCACCTAAGGGGGAGTGAAAATAGATAAGGAGATAAGTTTTGATGTGTGTAGAATTGATGCTTCTAGGGTGACAGACTAGATTCTTTTTTCAAATTCAGTTTAGAGTTTGGATTGTAGGGGTCCCTAGTAGGTCCTATACAGAGGGCCCAGTGGATAATCTGAGGTGAGGGGCCAAAATCTACTCATCACTACTACACAAGCTGGTGAAAAACTCTAAATTAACCAATGTTCTTACCTAGCACTGAGAGGGGATAAAGAATTGGAATGGACATATTTGTCACAATACATCATTATATTTTTAGTCATTCAAATCCTATATAAATTAATATCTCATTGCAGAGGGAAAGATCTCTACATATTATTCAAACTCGTTAGAATTACTTATATTGTGTTGTTAATTATAGTTATTTTTATCTGCTTTAATTTAGTTTTAACAGTTGTTATCATATTATTTTCATCTAAGTCAACAATTTAAATAGAATTTGCTTTTGAGTTTAGTAAGACAATTTAAATAGTTCAACTATCCTTGTAGGATCGATACTGGGGTTTTTAAAGAAAATCATATATTACTTGAAACGATACATATGCTTGCGTAGTATTTCTAATGTGAAGTTTTATTATTTATTTTTCATATCATTTCATTTATTCATATTAGCCGATGTATAAAATTTGAGTCAAGTTTTTGGCAAATTTTTGGAGATTAAAAAACACACGTAATTGCAGGCCGACTCAAATTTTTGGTGCGTTGTTGGGGATAGCTAACGAAAACTTTTTAAATTTGGAAAGTAAACTTTTTGATTTACAATTTTGTTTGCATTGTAGCTTTTAATTTTATTAAAAATTAAAAAAAAAATTAAAATTTGAAAATTAAAATTTTGAAGAATTAAAATAAAGAAAATTCTATTTTATTTTGTGTTATTTTATTTTCTGGATTTTATTATTTGTATGTGTAGTTAGAGATCTGAAAGTTTAGTGCCCCACAATTCTGAAATAGAACGTACTATATAAAAATTTTGAAAACAAGGAAGACTTCATAAATTTCAAGATATGACAAACACTTCACAAAATAATATTGAAATTCAAAATGGGGAAAATGAACATCATAATTTACAAAAACCTTTAAGGGATTGTGTAAACCCTACAAGAGATGAAATTCACTTAAGTATTCAAACTCCTATTGTAGCATCTAACTCATTTGAACTTAAACCTGCAAAAATATAAATGTACAAAACAATCAGTTTGGGGGAACACCAAATAAGGATCCAAATTTATATTTTGCATGTTTTTTAGAACTGTGTGCTACAGTTAAATATGATGGTGTAACAAATGATACTGTCAGACTTAGACTTTTTTCTTTTTCATTAAGAGATAAAACTAATATGTAGTTATATTCATTAGCACCTGAATCTATTATAACTTCAGGAGATTTGGCACAAAAATTTCTGGCTAAGTATTTTCAGCCTTCAAAAACTGCTAAACTTTGAAATGATATTTGTTCTTTTACTCAGCATGAACATGAGTTAATTTATGAAGCTTGGAAAAGATTTGAGGAACTCCTTAGAAAGTGACCACATCATGCTTTACCAGACTGGTTAATTGTTTAATCTTTTTATAATGGGTTAATTAGATCCCATAGATCTATCATAGTTGTTGTTATTGAAGGTTCATTAATGTTTAAATCATTTGATGAAGCTTATGTTTTAATTGAAGAAATTGCTACAAATAATTTTCAATGGTCTTTTGAAAGTAGCCAATATTCATGATAATGATGTTATTTCGATGGTTGCTTCACAATTTGCTGCACTATCTAGGAAAATAGATCAAATTAGAGTGAATTTTTCTCAAACACCTCAATTTGTTGAAGAAAATTCATTATCACAAATGCTTGATTTTCAAACTTCATTAGAAGCTGTAAATGATATTAATAGACCTAAAATCCCATATTCTAATTATTATAACTCAGGTTGGAAAAACCACCCAAACTTTAACTGGAATAACAATTCTAGTGATGGAAGTCAACAATGAGGGAATAATCAAGTAAACTCATTGGAAAATTGGAACAATTAGGGGAATTCTAACTTTAGACCTACCTATCCTCTTGAATTTAACAGTAATCAACAAGTTAAGGAGAAGAAGTTGTCTTTTAAAAGAAGTGGAGCTAGAAATGGATAATCAATTAAAGAGTCAGAGTGTTGCTATAAGAAATATTGAGAATCAACTTTAGTTGTAAACTCAACATATTTTAACAAATCAATTGGCCAGATTGAAAGTAAATTAAGATCGAAGTTAAAAGATCATTACAATTTCTTTAACATTTTCATGGCGCAACAAATTCAGATCACCATTTCACAAATCTCAAGACAAGGAGAAAGACAGAAAAAACTACTCAGATCTCATGGGGAAAACACAACAAAACTAGGAATTCATATATAAAATCAAAGTCATACAAACTACAACAATAAATAAACTTATCTCTAATTTCTCCCCAAGAAAACTCTTCGAAGTTCCTTAGAATCTCTTCCTTTCCTTACAACACACACAATTCCTCTTGGAAGCGGCAAGGAGGAAGAAATCTCTCACTTTCCCTTCACTATTACAATCTCTCGAAGAATTCCTCACAATTTAGAATCTACACTTTTTCCACACTTCAATTTTGAGTCTCATCCCTCTTCTATTTTTAGCCAGAGTCTTCTCTTTAAAGATGTGGATGAGTTTTTCCAAGAGTTGCCTA